CAATCAGCAGGAAGGTTCTTCTAGAACAACGTTTCTCAACCTTGGTAGCTTGAAGATGGGTGGACTTCAACTCCCAGAAACCCCCAGCCAGCAGCGCTGGCTGGGGGATTCTGGGAGTTGAAGTTCACCCATCTTCAAGCTTCCAAGGTTGAGAAACACTGTTCTAGAAAGAGCGTGGAGTTGCTAAAAGCCTTTAAAATCCTTTTCCTTGGCTACCTTAGAAAGAACTTTCTGAATACAAAGTACCTCCTAGCTTGGAAAAGCAGACAGAAAATTTGACATCTTGTTTTGAAACAAAACTTGGATTGTCAGGAAAAGTTCTGCCAACAGCAAGTTGCCCTTATAAAACTGTCTTTCGGAGCAATTTTGAAGGATTAGGTGTTCAGGTAGAGGAATGGCCAACCAGTATTTTCTCAGCTCTCCCTCATGTCGCTGCTGAAAATCTACTTGAATGGGTGGTGGGTAGTAGGTGGAATCCTGCTTCTCTTTGGGTGTTGGTTGCTGGAGGGAAAATGTTCGATGCTGTTTCCTTCCTGGATTTTTGATTGTAGCTTTCGAATGATGCCTAAATGGGATTTATCTCTGCCTGACAATTGATGGCTCTTAGAGGAATTCCAGAGCATTTTTGGACTGGGCTTGATCTAAAACATTAAGCTTCCCGATCTATTTCAAATTTTAAGGAAATGTAGGAAAACATGGATGGGAAGAAATTCCCCACCAGAGCAAGGAAGGAGGGTGCAAAAAGTCAAAATGATGGCTGTAATTCTGTGATGGAAGCTTGCCCCACCCCATCTCTCTCTCCCTCTTTCTCCTTTTTTCTTTCTTTCTTTCTCTCTCTTTCTTTCTTTGTCTCTTTCTCTCTCACGTTTTTTCTTTCTTTCTTTCTCTTTCTTTCTCTTTCTTTCTCTCACTATCTTTCCCTCTTTCTTTCTTTCTTTCTTTCTTTCTTTCTTTCTTTCTTTCTTTCTCTCTCTTTCTTTGTCTCTTTCTCTCTCACGTTCCCTTTCTTTCTTTCTTTCTTTCTTTCTTTCTTTCTTTCTTTCTTTCTTCTTTCTTTCTTTCTTTCTTTCTTTCTTTCTCTTTCTTTCTTTCTTTCTTTCTTTCTTTCTTTCTTTCTTTCTTTCTTTCTCTCTTTCTTTCTCTTCTCTCTCTTCTTTCTTTCTTTCTTTCTTTCTTTCTTTCTTTCTTTCTTTCTTTCTTTCTTTCTTTCTTTCTTTTCTTTCTTTCTTTCTTTCTTAAAATTAATCTGCCGCCCACCTTGTATCCAATGGCTCTGGGCGGCTTTATTACCTGTATGTCGGAAAGGGACAGTGCTTCAGTTGTGCAGTTGAACTGCAAAGTGAAAAATCTTGACTGTGTTAGACTCTCCTGCAGATGCCTCTGGAGAGAAGTAGGGAAAGAAAATGAGAGCAAAGGGATGAAAGGAAGAAGAAAAAGCAAAAAGACTCTCCTACCGATGCATCAACTTCACTCATAAGCGACTACCGTAGCCCCTTGCCCCTGTGCACCCAATATTGCCCCCTTCTCAGCCTGGGTAAGCCTGAG